GGATGCATGTTTGATTTCTGAGTTCAAAGTAGCCCTATGACAAAAACCCTTGACATTGTTGGACCATTGCTGCCTTGAATCAGTCCCGATCGGTCCTTTGTTTTCCTACGAACGCCACGATGTGGCCTTGCCTTGCCACGGAGTGGCTATTTGGTATACAGGTTCTGTGATTTTCTATTTAAGCTGATACTTTAAGCTCTGTTCTGGGTTGGTTTTGTTTGTTTTAAAAATACAGGAATGGCACAAAGAGGATCTAGAGAGGCTAATGTTGATATGTCATATTTGCACCCACTTTATCAATTCCCTCAAGACATGCCACAAGAGATTTTGGAAAGGTTTAACAATCGCTTGGAATGGTTACATTCAAGAAATATCGTGATTGCTCCTACTATTGATTGGGATTGGTTGGATCACCGAGGAATAATGGATCAAGTGAATCCTTACTTGAATAAATTTTTTGAGGGTGATGGAATGTCATTCGTTTGTAATGGGTGGAGGAACATTTTTGGAATTCAAGAAGTGGTTCGCTACAGTTAACTTCACGACGAATATTATGGATTTTGATGTACCTAAGAGCTATCACATTTAGTCGTGGTGGGTATTATCGGGAATGTAGCATGGCGGAGTTTGCATGGCAGGTGGGCTTATATAGTCAAGATGAAGTTATGTCGCCACAATTTGCATCATTCTATCAGGTGACTAGGAAAGGTTTTCAATCTGAGGGGCAAGATATGGAGTTTTGGCAACAAATTGCGAATAAGACTTATGTTACTAAATCTGCTCAAGAAAGCTACATTAGATCTCCGATCCACCTATTCATTCACCGACTCCTCACATTTAGTATCAACCACAAGCAACATGGAGATAGATTCCAGTGAACGAACCTTTTCTATTTGTGGAGGATTATTACGTCGGGGCATTTTTTGTGACTTACCTTATATGTTGGCTTGCTTTTTTTGGGAAAATGCGGAAATTTCATGACTGGAAAGTCCAAATACCGGGGGGCATTTTGTTACTCGTTTGGAAAAGTCATATGGTGTGTTAACCATGGGCATGATTGCACATTGATGTGTGTTTGGGCGAAAAATCTCACTATTAGTTTTTTGGAGAACATGCACGTAGTAGAGTTGGGGAGAGGTGTTTATATTACTCAGCGGATGACCCAGTAGATCCCGTTGATCAAGTGGATGATCCAAGGAAAAGGGGTCGACGAAATATGCGAGGACGAGGAGAGCGGGGCCAGCCGCAACAATTCCACGAAATACCAGCTGGAGGTGTTCCCACCGACCCGTTTCAGAGTAGTGTTGGATATTAATTGGATAATATTCGTAGGGCCGTTCATTATCAAAATCATGCGATTGACGGGATTTATGCTCACTTCCATATACCACTTTTGCCACCACAAAATCCTTATATTCCAAGTTGGGAGGAGATATGGGCATCACACAACTTTAGAGTCGGATCGAGTGGAGCCTGAGAGGATAATGATTAGTGATTTTTATCCTTTTTATTTTTATTTTTGTGTTTGTTGTGTTTTGTTTGGTTTGGTTTGTTTTTATTCAGGTTTGTAATCGAATGATTGTTATGCTTTCTGAATTTATCTAGAAAGTTTGTAATTTTTTTTGTTGTGCAGGATAAATGATTAGTTTCTAAGCGATAATATAAAGTCGTGTGAACGAAACGTATAATCGAGAGCCACAACTTTACATAAGTGTGGGGTGTGTATCGAGAGTTTTCGGAGAATTATGAATTTTTGGGAGGATTATGACATGTGAATCCAATGCATGAAGTGATCTAAAACACAACTTCTAAAGTATACTTGGACAAATGCTGTTTTGCTGAGCGTCCAGTGCTCACGAGGTGGCATCACTAGGCCACAACATGACGTTCTTATTTTCCGCGATCATAACGATTTCCTAATCGACACCACGACTTGGCGTTGCTTTCCCACGTCGTGGCTGGGCTACATTGCATACCTTGAAGATTTGTTACCCCACATTTTCAAAGGGCATGGTTCTTGGTCCCATTTATCTGGCAAAAATTACGAGTTGTTGAATACCCAGTTTCCAGTGATTATCAAGATATCCAAGTTTTCCCACACACTTTCAAAAATTCGATCTCGCCACTGTTACCCAAGGGAGTCTGTTCCAATTTCTTCTTTTTACTCTTATGTTCTTTGATTGTTTAAGTATGCAATGGGGACATTGCATCAATTAAGTGTGGGGTAGTGGGTTGAATTTATGAATGCAAGCTTACAGAGATGATAAAAATTGAAAAAATGACCAGGATTTAAATAAATTAGTATACAAAAAGTTGAAATAATGGTCTAACATTGAATCTAGTTAAAAATTTGTTATGTTGTTGTGCTGAGATCGAGGTTGCTAGTGTTGTGTGGGGCGATCTGATGCGAGTTTCGATATTTATTTGAGCCTATATATGTTATAATGTATTTGTGGCTTCCATGTCCTAGTAAAATCATGAAACAAAAACATGACATTGCTAGTTTGAGGGACATAATATGTTTAACATCGTGTACCAGAAATATATCCAGGAGAGCTTATGTAGTAATTGCACCTTAGACTAATACCTATAACCAATAAGCGTTGAAGTTAAGTTCTCTTGCTTAAGCATATGTTTTTTTAAGAATTTTTAGTTTTGAAAAAAAAAAGTGAGAAAAAAAATAAATTTAATAAAAAAAATTAAAAAAAATTACAAAATTTTGAGTAAATAAGAGTCTACAAAGCTACGAAGATCAAGAAGTAGCATGAATAAAAGTTCAAGAAATCCAAAAATCGAAGACTGGATAATAAGGCAATTTGCCAAGTTATTATTTATTGTAATTTTTATTTCTCGGTTATCTTTCCATATGTATACTTGGGGGCTTAATGAAAAATTACCTTGAGGTTAAGAAAGCTTTTTGAGGATATATTCGGAGGGATGCATAAAATGAATGTTGTTCAAAAGAAATGAGGAAGTGTTTATGAGGATTCTAACTATTTAGGATTGGGGAGGTTTTTAGGAAAATTAGACACAAATACATGTGTTGCGGTCTTGATGTAATGAAGAAGCTCAAAATGGATTGGCTTGTGCGATATTGGTAGCTACGGTTTTAATGTGATGGTATGATAATAAAATCAGATTTTCTTCAGGGCCAACAAAAGGCTAGTGTGGGGTATTTTGATATTTCTATATTTATATATATTTTTAGGCATTATTTTAATACGTTTGACCTATAATTTGGTAAAATGCAAATATATTTGGTATTTCTTGATTTAAATTACATTTTGCAGCCGAAAAGGAAATTCTTGATGGAAAACGACCAAAAATGACAAAAGCTGGAAAGTTGGAGGTCAAAGCTAGCAGCATCATGGAAAAAGAAGCGAAGTCGTGCAGATTTTCATGCCACGACATGGCAATATAACAGCCACGACGTGGCCTCTTGTCCTAACCTAGAAGCTTCTGGTGACTTACCGCATACGGGATTTAAATGATACCCACATCATGGCTCTTATCCCCACGAAGTGGCAACCAAATTTTAGGAAACTATATATATCCGAATATTAGGTCGAGTTCCAGAGGTTGGCTTGAGAACTAAGCTAAGGTTTACGACTGAAAACCCTTAGAATACCTCCCAGAAGTTAAGAATTCGATTTGCACTTAAGCTTTGAAGAGAATTGAAGAAAGATCATCATTAAATCATTCGGTTTGATAGATTTAACCATGTATTTTCTAGTTAACTTTGATTTATTGCTTGTTTCTGTTTTAGTTATGGGTTAATCACCCCATACTTCTGTTTGGTGAAGATGAACCCGGATCTTATGTGTTGATTTCAATTTATGTATGTTTTATGATTTTACTTGTGTTTGATAATCAAAACCCTAACATGTTGAAGTTTTAGTTTTTATTACTTATTAATCTAGTTCTGTGTGATAGATGATCATTCTAATTGCATGAATTTGTTACCTAATTGTTTATGATCATTAAATAATTAGAGCTAGTGATTAATCATATCCTAGGGTTAAGTAATTGGCAATTAATAACTTTAACTGTGTTAGAGAGCATAATTAATCATAATTTGTGTTTGGTTGCTTGACTTGATCATAGGAAAGAAACTCTTAGATTTATCATTCATAGTCTAATTCATGCTTATATCGATTTTGTGTTTAACTTGTGCTTGATCATTGAATGGTAATTTATAAATTGGTACATTTAGGTATTTGATCATAATAACTAGTAATGTAAAGAATTGGTAATTAATATAATCCACCCACTAGAAATCAACCATATGAGAAGGGGGAATCAAAACTAAATAAAAGTACTCTTTAAATCTTGAAGTAAAAGGTCGTTCTCTTGCTTGTTAGTTTTAATAGTTATTTAGTTAATAGTAGTTTGATTTAAGTTCTTCCGATCTTGCAAAATCAGTAAAAAAAACCCCAATTTAAGTTTGTTCTCTTAGTTTAATTAAATTTAGTTATTTCTAAATTAAATTCAGTTCTTTGTGTTCGACACCCGACTTACCCATGTTATTCTATAATCCGACTAGGTACACTGCCTATAGGTGCATAAGTAGTTAAGTAGTTAGGTTTATAAATTTAAAAGTTGATAGATATATTTTTGCACATTACTAAGTCAACATCTACCTTTAAACCGATTAAAATATTACACATTCCCTTATCTAGAAGGTAATTTCTTACTTTAAGAACCAATTATGCAAAAAAAAAAACCTTTAGTGACTAAATCGGTTAAATGACTAAAATTTAGTGACTAAGTAAGTTAAATGGCCTATTGTGGCCATGTAGGTCAAGCTATGTTGGTATCACCACCATTATTTTAAGTACTAATCCTATGTGATATTTCTTTTTCCATCACCAATGTCGTCATCACCACTACCGCCACCACCAATCCATCATCACCTCCACCTCTGTTACCCCTTGTCATACCCCTCGGCAGGTGGCGGAAACGTTGGACCGTGCAACGTTAGAATGTTGGATCACATACCATAGATATAGAGCAACACACCAAATCTTATCACATAAATATCACATTTTATTTATTATATAGAATAGGTTACATAATTATTCGAGGTACAGGTACAAGACAAATGCAAAATAAACCATTAGGACACAGATACTTCCAATTGCTCTCTCAGGAATACGCTCGTCATCTCCAGTACTCTTTCTCCTGAGGATACATGTGGTTTGAAAGGTCAACATAATGTTGGTGAGTTCACAGGTTTTTTACTTTTAAAGCGTTTTTGTATGGTTTTACTGTATATCAGTTCTTAGGTACTCTTAATATCCTGAGATCGCATCCATGAGTTTGTTATAAGTTTCTGTAACATCCAAAAATATGGTCCCAAAAAATTTCATTTTAATAATAAATAAAAGAGTATTTTCCAGTAACATCCAAACATTTAAATAAAACTCAATGTATCATTTTTGTCATAAAATCAGAGTAAACATCAAAGCGGAATCTCAACATGTGTGCGATGCATCATCGCGAGCTCTTCCTTTACAACAAACCGGAATACCGGAAAC